AAAGAAAAGTCCCTGGTGAGCTGCATATTCACGAGAGGACAACTTTTTCTCTTTTCTTTCCCCTGAGCCCTTCCTATGTGCGTGGAGTCCTTTGGTGGCACAAGAAGTTAACACACTTAGCTGGTAACCAAAGGGTTGCTGGTTCAAATCTACTTAGAGGCAACTCAAAAGAAAGACTCAGATCTGCTGAGAAATCATGAGGGTCTGACCCCCGGCTGATCATGGGAATGGTGTGGGATTGGGCAGCATTTGAAGGAGCCCTGGTGGTACTGTGGTTAAAGCGTTGGGCTGCTAACAACATCTTTACAGAAGTAGTCGGAGCCATCTTTCTCCCACAGACTGACTAGTGGGTTCGAGCTGCTGACCTTTTGGTTAACTGTGGCCAGGTGGGAGACACTGAACTTTTTCGAATGACATGGGCAGAAAGGGGATCAAATCAAACCCAAACACCAAACTGGTTACCATGGAGTCGACTCCGACTCAGGGTGACCCCACGTGTGTGAGAGTAGACGTGTGCTCTGTAGTGTTTTCACATTTGGGACCTTTTGGTAGCATCTTCCAGGTCTTTCTTCTGAGTTTCCTCTGGCTGGATCTGAGCTACCAACCATTCTGTTTGGGTAACCGTTTGGACCACACAGGGATGGAGCAAACACTTCCAAAACCCACCACCGCCACCCTGGGGGATGAGTGAGAAGGGTTGGCAGGTTGGAGAGCCACAGGGGAGCTGGAGGTGGATCCTAGCAGTGGCTGCCCACATACAGCATCACCTTCAAAGTCAACGGTGCCGTCTCCGTTAACATCGGCCTCCCGGACCACCTCGGAGATCTCCCGGGGCGTGAGTCTCTCTCCCAGAAGTCTCTGCATAGCCTGCTGCAACTCTCCCAGCGTGATCTCTCCGTCCCCGTTGGCATCAAACTGGATAGGGGCAAAGGGGACAATATTAGCAACAATGGTGACTGGTAATAATACATATAGTTTGGATGGTTGCCATAGAGTCAATTCCAACTTGTTGTAGTGTGCTGTTGAGTCAACTCCAACTCGCAGCGCCCCTAGAGGACAGAGTGGAACTGCCCCACAAGCTTTCCCAGGCTGTCAGTCTTTACAGGGGCAAAGCCCAAACCAAACCCACTGCCCTGGAGTCAACTCCAACTCACAGCGCCCCTAGAGTCAAACTGCCTCATAGTGTTTCCAAGGCTGTCAATCTTTACAGAAGTAAAGCCTAAACCAAACCCAATGTGGTGGACTTGATTCAGACTCATAGCACCCCTAGAGGACAGAGCAGAACTGCCCCATAGGGTTTCAAGATATCAGATGACATATAGCCCTGGGCAAATCTGCTGCAAAAGACCTCTTTCAGGTGCTGAAGAGCAAAGATGTCTCCTTGAAGACTAAGGTGCACCTGACACAAGCCATGGTATTTTCAGTCACCTCGTATGCATGTGAGAGCTGGACAATGAATAAGGAAGACTGAAAAAAAGTTGATTCTTTTGAGTTGTGGTGCTGGCGAAGAAGGGTGAAAGGACCACGGACTGCCAAAAGAACTAACAAATCTGTCCTGGAGGAAGTGCAGCCGGAATGCTTCTTGGAAGTGAGAATGGCCAGACTTCGTCTCACCTACTTTGGTCATGTCAGAAGGGACCATTCCCTGGAGAAGGGTATCATGCTTGGTAAAGTGGAGGGTCAATGAAAAAGGGGAAGGCCCTCAACAAGATGGGTTGACACAGTGGCTGCAACGATGGGCTCCGCAGGGATTGTGGGGCTGGCACAGGACCGGGCAGTGTTTTGCTCTGCTGTACATAGGGTTGCTATGAGTCGGAAGTGCCTTGACAGCACCTAACAGCCTAGGAGGATTTGCAAGGCTGTAATTTTTATGGCAGCAGACCGTCTCATCTTTCTCCCGTGGAGCAGCTGGTGGGTTTGAACTGCTGACCTTTGCATTAGCAGCCAAATGCTTTAACCACTGTGCCACCAGAGCTCCTTTGGTAATGAGTAATCAGATCTCTACTGTTCCTCAACTACATTCAGCACCCTGAAGCTCTTAACTCACCTCCTTGAAGGCGTCTCGCATCTCCTGGACCCCAATCATCCCCGCTGTTTCTGCAAGCAGTTTGGGGGTCATCAGCTCCACAAAGTCATCAAAGTCTACTCGGCCACCCACTGAGGACATGAGAGGCAGGTTAAGTGAACCTCCATAGGCGTCAGCCCTCCATTACCTCACTCTGTTCTCAAGTATGTTCAAGAAACAGACCTGCCCCCATTTGTCTGGTGTCTAAGATCTACCCTTGATCTCCTCCCTCCAACTCAAGCATCTATGTCCCTCTAATCTAGCAGAGATGGACAGGGTATGATATGGTGGTGGGAAAAAAAAAAAAAAATCTGTCCAGGTGAGCTTGGGCTGAACTTTTAATTGGTTGAGTTCTTTGTCCCCTCATCTGTGGAACAGGGAGGGAGACAGGAATTAAAAATGAGCTCCAAATCCACTTTCCGATATGACATCTTGTTTAGATTTGAATACTATCTTGTGCTTGAATTCAGCTTTGTTTACTCAGTTACACACCCAGACACAAAGCCAACAGCAACTGTCCCTCAGCTTTGATCTCTCTGGGGATCTGCTCTTGAAAAGAAAACCCAAGGAGTAAGTTCTCTTGGTCACATGGGGTCACTGTGAGTCAAAATGTATTCCACAGCATGTAACCATAGCAACAACATCCACCTGAAAATCTGTGCGTTTTGGAGCACTATGTATCAATGTAGCTCCAACTCCTCCAACTCTGATTCTACTTCCAAGATCAGATAAAGGCCCGGTCTTGTGCTCTATGGATGCATCTTAGTGGTGATAACTTACATTTAATAAATGTTTCCTGGAGGCTATGTCTTTGCCTGCATTAGCACCTTTGTCCCTTCCTTTCCCTAATCTATGAAGTAAGGTGAGATACCATCTTCACTCAACTATTGAGACTGAGACGCAAGAGTGGTGGTTAACATCATTCTTCAAAATGACTATAATTAGTAAAATAATAGAACTGGACTTTGAATTCAGATCTAGTTCTAGAAGTCGTTCTTTAACCACTTCAATTGCTGCCTGTTAGTCAGACCCCCTTTTTTCTAGGCTTTCTGTACCTTGTACACTCCTCCCTATCCTCAAGTCAACTTTCAACCTCCGTATCCCTCCCAACTCCACCCTCAGCCCTCCCCAAACCCCAGTCATTCCTCCCACTCCCTGGCCTCACAGTTCATGCGTATTTGCTGGCCCAGTTCAATCAGTTCCATCTCTGTGGGCATGTACCCCATCGTCCTCATGAGATTGCCCAGGTCCTTACAAGAGATGAACCCATCTCGGTCTTTGTCAAACTCAAGGAATGCTTCCCGGAGCTCTGAAAGTCAAGACGGAAGAACTTTGGGCAATTGGAAGACAATCAATGGACAAGAGAAGCATCCTTTGAAACTGTCAATGGGGCGCTGGCTAGAGACACCTCAAAGAGAAGACAATGAACCTGTGGAGCTGGCACTCAATGGACTGCCTGGTTTTTCCAGGTCTCAGCACTTCCCCATCTTTGACAGGGTGTTTCTATCACTCTCTGTTGAGAATCCTGTTTCATAAACACCCAGTGAGTTTTCCTTCTCTAACAGGTTCTCACCTTACACAGGTTCCAGCTTTCACAGGTTTTGCTGTACATAAAAAAAAAAGTTCAAAAGAGAGTGATGTATGAAATATGTTAGCAAGAGGTTGACTCTTGAGGCCACTGAGTGACAGCATTCAGATTCCAGAAAGAAGTTATGGAGAACCTCAAAACCACCAAGAGATAATCCAACTTTTTTTTTTTTTAATTGTAGTTTGGGTGAAAGTTTACAGAACAAATTCATTTCCCATTCAACAATTTATATACATTCTGTGTCGTGACATTGGTTGCAATCCCCTCAATGTAACAGCACTTCCCACTTCCTCCCGGGGTTTCCTGTTTCCATGTGTCCTTCTTTCCTGCCCCTTCCTATGTTCTGAGCTTTGTCTTTGGGCAAATGATGCCCATTTGGTCTTGTATGGTTGACAGCACAGTCTAGAGATATTGTGAATTTGGTTCCAGACTGCCACAATAGAGAAAATATCGCGATAAAGCAAGTTCCACGAATTATGTGGTTCCCCAGTGCATATAAGTTATCTTTAGATGACACTGTAGTCTACTAAGTGTGCAAGAGCTTTTATGAAAAAGTTGGAAATATGGTGGGAGTTACCAAAATGTCAGAGAGAGACAGGATATGAGCACACACTATTGGAAAAATGTCATCCATCTACTTGCTTGATGCATGGTTGCTACAAACCTTCAATTTGTAAAAAATAAAATAATGCACTATCTGTGAAGTGCATTAAAGAGAAGTGCAGTGACTAGGAGAGATGCCTGTAGGGGGAGTACATTTCTCCCTGGTGTCCGTGTTCACTACACTCAACAATTTTATTATTATTATTATTGTGATTTGGGTGAAGATTTGCAGAGCAAATTCAATTTCTATACAGCAGTTCACATATACTTTGTCTCATGACATTGACTACAATTTCCCACAATGCAACAGCTCCCCTCCCACTTCCAACAGTTACCTCTTCCCTGTGTCCATCCCTCCATGCCCTCCTGCCCCCTGAGCTGTCTCCTGGTGCATAAGCAGCCCTTCTTTCTCCCATGATTGTTCGCTCCAAGGTACACTCAACAATTTTGACTCATCCTAAAATCTGTGTGTCCCTCCTGCGTCTCTGAGACACCTGGGGATGGAGATGCCTCTGACTGCTTTGGGAGGTCCTTACACTGTCACGAGAAAGTGTTCCACAGGATCTCAATGGAAGGGGAGGTTCCATGTAACTGGGTTTACACTGAAATGTACAAGGGGGCAGAGGGGAAGGTAAGCAAGTGACAGTGTGGGACCATGTGGTGGAAAGGGTGTTACCTTCGATCTCGTCTTGTCCCAGGGGTCTATCCTGGAGAGAAGTTCAAGAGAAAGGGAACGTGGAGAGAGGGTCAGAAATCCATCACCCGGCTTCTTCAAACAGGTCTCATCCTCCCAAGCTGCTCTCCCTCCCGTCCCCATCTCTCTTCCCATTCTCGCTCCCCTCTTCTTGTTCCTCACACCCTCTAAGTCCCGTTCCATGCCTTGGATTCTCACCATTTCCCCACCCCTTTCCCTCATCTCTTCTCTTCCATCCTTGTGACAGTCTTACAAACCCTGCAGTGCAGTCCCACTCTGTCCTCTAGGGGCGCTGTGGGTCAGAATCCACTCCACGGCAGTGGGTGTGGTTTGGGCTTTGCTTCTATGAAGACTGACAGCCTTGGAGACCCTGTGGTGCAGTTCCACTCTGTCCTCTAGGGGCGCTGTGAGTTGAAATCAACTCAACAGCAACAGGTTTGGTTTGGGTTTGCCTTTCTCAGACAGACAATAATCAAACTGTCCTGAGAAAAGCTCTCAGAGCCATGGAGCCCAATCCCTTTGTCTTTCTGGTGAAGAAAGGAGACTTAAAACCACACTGAAGTTGACATCTTCAGAGTGCTGACTCTACAATTATTTCATGTAGATCCAAATATCATTCCCATCTCACCAATCAGGAAGCAGAGGCACAGAGAGGTTAAGGAACTTGCCCAAGGTCACACAGCTCAGAAGTGGCAGATTCTCCCCTCCCTCAAAAAAGAAAAAAAAAAAAAAAACCACCTCACTGCCGTCCAGTCAGTTTGACTCATAGAGACCCCTCCTTGGGTTTCCAAGGCAGTATCACCATGGAAGTAGATTGCCCAACCTTCCTTCTGAGGAGTGGCTGGTGGGTTTGAACCGCCAGCCTTCTGGTTAGCAGTCAAGTGCCTTAGGCACTGCACCACCAGAGCTCCTACCTTCACAGAAGCAAAGCCCAAACCAAACCCAGTGCCTGGAGGGGATTCTGACCCACAGCGCCCCTAGAGGACAGAGTGGAACTGCACCACAGGGTCTCCAAGGCTGTCAGTCTTTATGGGAGCAAAGCCCAAACCACACCCACTGGAAGCAAAGCCCAAACCAAAGTCACTGCCATTGACTTGACTTGACTCATAGAGACCCCTCCTTGGGTTTCCGAGGCAGTATCACTACGGAAGTAGATTGCCCAATCTTCCTTCTGAGGAGTGGCTGGTGGGTTTGAACCGCCAGCCTTCTGGTTAGCAGTCAAATGGCTTAGGCACTACACCACCAGAGCTCCCTCCAAAAATAAATAAATAAATAGATAGATAAATAAATAAATAAATAAGCACTGCCATCAAGTGGATTCTGACTCATAACAACCTCCATTGGGTTTCCAAGGCTGTAAATCTTTACAGAAGCAGATTGCCTCATCTTCCTCCCGTGGAGTAGCTGGTGGGTTTGACCCACCAATCTTCTGGTTAACAGCCAAATGCCTTACCCATTACAACACCTTCCCTTCAGCTCCTTCCCTCCAACGCATTAAAAAAAAAAAAAAAAAAAAAAAAAAAACCCACTGCTGTCGAGTGGGATCCTACTCATAGCGACCCCTTCTTGGTTTCTGAAATGGTATCACTACTGAAGTAGATTGCCCAACCTCCACGTATAGAGACATTAAAGTAGTTCCTCAAGATTCTGCAGCAAGCCAAACTCAGGACTGGGATTTGCTCTCAGGGGTTCTGAGTCCCAGGCCAGAATTCTTCCCACTGTACCCATGGGGTAAACACCTGCTGGGGGTGCCGTGAGTCAAAATCCACTCGACGCCAACTAATGACAACAACACACCCCACTGACGTTTTCCACCAGCCTCTGTTCTTTCTTCCAAGGGTTAGCTGCCCTTTGCCCGTGGCCAGTGTTTGCTGGAATTCCACATGATCCATGCCAGCAAGCCCAACACCAAGTTCTGAGACTTTCTCCTTTATCACTGCCCCTCCTCACTCCCGGACATCCCTGAAGGACTGGGCCGTCTGGGGGATTTTCCTAAGCCCTGGCTTGTCTCCCCTTTATCCTTTGAGCCCTTTCCTCATCTCCTTGTTCTCCTTAGCCCCTTCCCCCAAGTTCCTCCCTCTCTTCTGTTCTTAAGGCCTAACAATAAGGAACACAGCCACAGATCTAACCGGCTCACTATCTAATTGTGTGACCGTAAGTCAACTCTTAGGGAGACTTCATGACTCACAGCCTCGGTCTCCTCACCTGTCAAGCAGGAATGAAAATACCAGCGACCTCACGGCTTGTCCTGGGGAGTAAACGGAGTCAGGGACGCAGAGCCCTCTGCTCAGGGCTGGACATGCAGCAACGCCTTAGTTAGTGGCAGCTGCTAACTGTGTCACGGGGTATGGGCTGCTCAGCGGTAGAATCCATGCCTTCCAGGGAGACCCGTGTTCAGTTTCCAATCAACACGCCCCACGCACAGTCACCACCTGTCCGTCGGTGGAGGCTTGTGCGTTGCTGGGACGCTGATGGAGGAGGAAGAAAGGCCTGGAGATCGACTCCTGAAAAGTCACCCCTTGGAAGCCCCGTGGGTCACAGTGGTCCCACCTCCAGCCAATCGTGGGGATGCAGGATGGGGCAGGGCTTTGATCTGTTGTACATGGGGCTGCCATGCATTGGGGCCGACTCAGTGGTGGCTAACGACAACAACAACAACAACAATGACCATGGTACCACCCTCACCATCCGTATCCACGTCCAGAGAAAAGAAGGGTGGTCGTCGCCAACAACAACATCATCCCAACTCGATCGATTCAACCTCCTGTTTCATCTTTCTCCCCCTTCCTCACCTCTTTCTGCCCCTCAGTTCACCCTCATGCATTTCCTCAGGCCCTTAATGCCCACCCTGCTCTCTGGGATTCAAACTACCTTCTCTGATCATAAGGAGCTCTGGTGGCACGGTGGCTACAGCGTTTAGCTGCTAACCAGGAGGTCGGTAGTTCAAACCAACCTGCCACTACATGGGAGAACGGTGAGGCAGTCTGTTTTTGTAACAGTGGCAGCCTTGGAAACCTATCGGGCAGTCCTGCCCAGTCCTTCAGGGTTGCTAGGAGTCGGAATTGACTCAACAGAAGAGGGTTTGGTTGTGGTTGTGGGTCTGCATTCATGCTTTTTCCATCTGCTCCCCTTCCGCCATTGCACCCACCGAGAATCAGCTGTCCTTCCCTCCCCCGCCACGCGCCCAAGTCTCAGCTCTTTTTGCCCTGCCCCGCGGCTTCCCCCACCATCCCCGCCTCACCCGCTGTTTTTCAGCAATCCCTTTTCTCAGGAAGATGCAGGCGGGGCCCATGGGAAATTGCATGGAGGGGGCAGGGCGGAGATCGCCAGGCATCAGTCAGTCGGAAGACCCCTTCTTCCTGTCCCCTTGGCGTCCTTATCTTATTTATCACTCCTGCCAACTCGTCCTGGGTCTGTGGTCCCAGTCAGTCGCTGTGTCTCACAGCTGTAACAGCTGGGGTGGAAGGCTCTCTTCACGTTAGGGGTTGGTCAGAGCTGTTCCTGCCTCCCCATCTGGCTCGAGTGAGACTCTCTCAGGCTCTGACCTTTTAGCCACAAAACAGATTAGAAAGATCATCCCCAAAACGAGGATTACAGCAGAGGGCGGA